AACAGATTTTTGAAATATGGTTTCTATATCCTTTTAAATTCTGTAAAATCTGTGGTAATGTCTCCTAGATCTTGATATTGTAATTAAAAAATGTATAATTGATATTGTGTAATAGGAAGTAAAGGTCTAAAGGAACAGGGGAAATGGGAGGGGTAGGGGAAAGGAAAGAAGAGAAAAGAAAAAATATGAGAAAAGGAAAAAAATGGAAACAAAATCTTTGCAAATAGGGAAAGGTGGAGGGGGTGAAGGGACGGCAGGGGAGGGAAAAAAAAATAAGAACCAAGAGACTCATGTAATGGTACAAGATCCCAATGATGAATGTAACTGTATTTTATACCTAAAATGTACCAATGAACTTAATGGGGGAAAAAAAAGCATGTGTGTGTGAGAGAGAAAAGGTGGTATGTTGGAAGCCATTGGTAAATAGAAGTGAAAGGTACATGGGACTTCATCAGACTAGTCTTACTACTTACCTGTAAACTTGAACTTCATAGCAAAAATTGTATGTTCAAATACAAATTGCATATTTAGTTTGTGGTTTAAAAAGGAGAAAGATTTGGCCAGGGATTTAACTCAGTGGTGTCACGCCTGCCTCGCAAGCGCAAGGTCCTGAGTTCAATCCCTGGTATGGCACGGGGCTCAGGTCTGTAGTATGTCATAACTGCAGCCGTTGGAGTAATGGCCTTTAAGTGACAGGTGACAAGGGCTTTCTGGTCACGTTCATCAGATGGAGCAGCAGATAAAGGTGGGAGAAGAGGCAGCACACAGAAAGCCCAGTCCCTCAGGACCCAGGAACAGAATAAGTGGTTGCCCTGCAGGTACAGTAGTGTGGCCTTCTCCAGTGGTGCTCCTGAGGCCTGGCCTGGCCCGTGTTGTGGCTGTCATTCTTGAATTCCTTTGGAGCTGTCAGTGCTGAAGATGTCTGGTGCAGAGGGGCCTTTCCCAGGCCTGGGCAATAACCCAAGGCCTTTGTTTGAATGTGGTTGTGAAGCACACTTTGGGCACAAAGGTGAGAAGTGCTATCTGGAGAGAAGTGTCCTTTCTTGGCTTCCCACAGCACCCACCCTGTACTAAGGGCAGGCATGTTGCTGACCCCACCCAGCTTCCAAGTCTGTCTTCACAGAGGGGCACTTGTCTCCATCCTGCTACAAAGGGTGCAGGGCATGTGAGGGCCTGTTAAAGGGGAGGACAAGGGCCACAAGAGGAAGGCTGCCAGGGCTGTGAGCAGAAAAGACTTCAGAGGGACATTGTGCCAGCCCGAAAGGGAGTATTGGGGGTGCAAGGTGTGGCAAGAGTGTCAGTGCAGGCCAGGGGAGCCCGGAGGAGTAGCAGGAGAAAAGCAGTGAGAAGGCCAAGTATCCCTCATTCACCCGCAGTGCTTAAGGGCACACACAGCTAGCTCACTGCTTGAATGAATCTGATGTTCAAGCACAGGCAGGGGACAGAGGAGAGAAAAGCCGGAAATAAATAGGTAGAGTATCTAAGGCTGCGCATGGTGAGGGTTAGTTGCAAAGAATGGCCCAGAACGAGTGGGAGCTGTGCCCCTGTGCAGACATATGGCGACTGTGTTCGGGGGCAGCAAGAAGGCCAGTGTTTCCAGGGAGGTGAGAAGGGGGCTCCAGGGACAGATGGCAAAGCCATGCAAGTGGCTTAGGATTGAACAGCCCCCTGGGCGGCAGCTGAGGCAAACAGGGAGGCCAGTGGCCTCTGCAATGAGAGGCCAGGGATGTTGGCGGCCCACATGACATGGTGGCTACAGAAGCCCCAAGTAAACTGCATAGCTGGCATCTCTCATCAGAGCAGCAGCCCTCAGCACAGGTCACAGTTCTCGCGGGACTGCAGTAATGTGGGGCATGCAAGCTGGATGTCAGGGAGGTGACAAAAGCTGATCCTTGTACAGCGTCAAGCTCAGCTGACCTGAACCTTACAAAATGGGGAACCCACAGACTTGAACCCGAAGGGCTTTGGGTTTCTACCTAACTCACCTGGTTTGGGCCTGCTGGAAAGAACCCTTGAGAGAGCTTTACGTTTGTTCCTTTGCACTTAGGCTCCCTCCTCTGTGTTTCCAAAGCTCCTAGGGAAATGGGTGATAGTGGCTTCTTCATCTTTGTCTCCCCAGTTTCCAGCCTAGACTGGGCCTCAGACTTGACCTAGGGTCTGCTTAGGACATTGACCTGGGACTTGAGGGACATGTGGGGTGCAAGGGGCCACAGGGCCAGCCTGCACTCACCTTGGGTTCATTGAGTCCCTTCTGTCTTGCAGAGACTGTCATTTGTTGACGTGGCCAGCGGATGGCTAGGGCAAGGCCTGGGGATCTCGTGCGGGATGGCATACACTGGCAAGTACTTCGACCAGGCCAGGTAAGGTGCTGCATTGCCCCACCCCTGCTCTCTGGCTCCGCAGCTCACTCATTTGGGAGGACAAGAATGGTTTGGGAAAGTTAAGTCACCAAGCATGAAACAGTAGAGAAAGCAGGCTTATAGAAACTCTTCTTGCCTCTCTGGTTGGGCCTTATAGGCCCTGGTGGTGTATTAGAATGTGAGGCTTCTCTAGGAGACCGCTTTCTGCTCATGCTCTCTGGTAAGCATCGCTGGAGAGGGGATGCATGTATGGGGGCTCCAAAATGTTAAGAACCAAGGATTTTTCTTTTTGGGTGGTTCCCCCTTTCTGAAACCAGATCAGTGTTTCTTTTGGGCCTTTTGCTCAGCAGCTGCTGGTGCAGGAGCAAGACCATGTTGACCTTCCTGGTCTTGTCCATGAGTCCCCCCTACCCTCTGCTGTGTGCGGTGCCCTGAGTCCAGAGCCCCTCAGTTCAGTTTCCCTAGGACAGGAAGCTCCTTTCTCCAAGGGTCTCAGAGGAGCATCTAGCTCCTTGGGGTGCGGAGAGCCCTGAGGGTTGAGTCCCCATGCCAGCTGTGGTGACCTCGCTAGAAGTTCTTGTGTTTCTTGCACTCCTTGGTTGGCCATCCTTCTCCCTTTCCCACAAGTCTGTGGAAACATCGTGGCTGTGGTGGTCTCTCTGTTCTTACTAACTCTTTCTTAGACTGACAGCATGGTAGTAAGGTCTAGGGTACATTTTACTGGTACAGCTATTCATGTAGTTTTTGCTGTAGAGTTTACTGTTTAAAACAATATATGCTCTCGAGGCAGAATTTTGGATGGTTATGATTATTGTAAATAAAGGTCAGAAATAGAAAGTAGTAGTGTTTTAAAACAGAAAATCAAGGCAATACATGTGCCATGAAGCTATTTTCTGCCCATTCTTATCTTGCCCCCTCACTTGTTCATCTGGAGAAGCAGCAGGAGAAGCTAAAGCTGGGAGGAGAAAACTAGCTGAGAGGGAAGCCCATCTCCTGAGGCCCAGGCCGGGCTTAACCTTGAGACCCCACTGCCTCATCCTCCCGCATAGCTGCTACTAGGGGAATGTCCCACCATGCCGGCAGTGGCTGGACTTGCAAAGCATCCTTGTTTCTTCAGTAGCTGAGCTTAGGCAGAGCTGGTGAGGAAAGTAGTGTCAGGTACCTGCTAGACAGCAGCAGTGCCTCCAGTCCACCCCTTGGTTTCTCCCTGAGATGCATTTACTCATGTGGCTCCTCATCCTTTCTTGCCTTGCCACAGCTACCGAGTGTTCTGCCTCCTGGGACATGGTGAGTCCTCAGAAGGCTCTGTGTGGGAGGCACTGGCCTTCGCATCCCACTACAGTCTAGATAACCTCGTGGCCATCTTTGATGTGAACTGCCTGAGGCATGGTGGCAGCTTCCCCTTGGAGCACTTCGTCAAGGTCTATCAGAAGCGTTGTGAAGCCTTTGGGTAAGCATCTCTCTTGCTTTACCTTCTCCCTGCCTTGACCCTCGCCCAGGTAACCCAGCCTCCTTGTTGGCAGGTGGAACACTTACGTGGTGGATGGTCTTGACGTGGAGGCACTGTGCCAGGTGTTCTGGCAGGCAGCTCATGTAAAGGGCAAGCCCACCACTGTGGTGGCCAAGACCTTCAAAGGCCGAGGCAGGCCGAGTAAGTATTTCTTTCTCACCACCCAGGCGTACCCAGGGCATCTCCCAGCACGGATGAGCCGCAAAGGGAGCCTTCAGATTTGGCTAGCCAGGCAGATGGTGTCCTCAGTGAGTAATGGCTCTCCTGGTAATCAAGGGCTCCTCTCTCTTGCCCTCCCTGGATAGCATCTGCTTAGGGTAGGAGGGGAAGTTTACACCCCCCGCAAGAGACCAGTGACTCCCTGGCGGTGGGGGGAAGCGGCTAGGGGCATAGGCATCAGTTGGGGGGCCAATACGGACCTCTTCTCCAGGTGTCAGTGGGCCCAGCATGAGGGTGTGTGTGCATACTGCTTGCCTAGGTTGGTGCCACCTGGAGTAGCAATATAACATTGTCTTTGGGGCTAGGAAGGAGGAGGTATATAAGACAACTTCCTGCACTTCCAAAGCTGTGTCTCAAGTCGTTCGCCTCAAGTTTAAATGCTTGCAAAGGGTATGATTCCTGCATTGGTTTGGTTTTTTGAGACAGAGTCCCACTATATAATACGGGTTGGACTTGAACTCACTATGGACCCCAGGCTGGCCTCAGAATCATGGCCATTCTCCTGCCTCAGCCTCCCAAGTGCTGGGATTACAGGCATGTGCCATCACAGCTGGCTCCTGAGTTTTAATATAATGTAAACATTTCAGAATAAATGTTCTACAGCTCCTCCCTAAAATATGATCTTATCTCTATCTCCAGTTGCAGTTCTGTAAAGCAACTTTACCAATGTGTTCCAGGAGAACCCTCGATGTTCTTGCCTCTGCCTCTCCCTTATATGCCTGCCACCCCCACATATCCAGTTCCTTTAAGTGTACATCAGATGTGTCCCCTTCTCCCTGTCTCTACTGCCATGACTGTTACCAAGCCTGTCGCCTCTCCTAAACTGCACTGACTTCCTTCTGAGCCTGTCTCCATGCTGCTGATGCAGTGATCTCTCTATAAGACATCCACTTTCCCACCCCAAGCCCTTTGGTCACTCCTCTTGCTCTGAATAAAGCTCAAACTCATCATCATATTCATGAACCCTGTTTACATGTCTCTGCTGCCTGTCTGTACAGCCTTGTCTCCCTTGTTCTTCTCTCTAGTCACCAACACATTGGACAGTGGCCTCCTGAAAAGCTACTAGGCTTTTGTCCAGGCTGCTCTCTGTGACTGCCCAGTGTGCCAGCTTCTTAACTCCTGTGAGCCCCAAACCAATAGCTTTTGCATCAGGATATTTTAGAGAACCTAAAAGGCATCCGTTAAAGGGTTGGAATGGATGGCTTTTTGTATTTTGTTTCAGACGTTGAGGATGCAGAAAGTTGGCATGGAAAGCCAATGCCACAAGAGCAAGTAGATGCAATTATCAAATTAATTGAGAGCCGGATACAGACTAACAGAAGTCTTACACCACAACCCCCCATTGAAGACTCACCTCAACTCAGCATCGAGGATATAAAAATGACGTCTCCTCCTGCTTATGAAGTTGGTGACATGGTAGGCAAAAACATGGCTGATTGACTAATTCATGCACATCAACATACTTTATGCTGTGATTGGCTTCCTAAATATACAAGATTCTTTATTTTTTCTGATCTCTCTGAATAAATCAGTGTGACATTTATTTAACAGATATCAGCAGAAAAAATGGGTTTACTTTCTCTTTTATTGTCTCTGATTTTTCTTTGCTCTCACACTTAGGTTTGATATTTGGGGCGGGGGAGACAAAATCTTGCTATGTAGTTCAGGCTGGCCTCAGACTCATGGTTCTTCTGCCTTGGCCTCCCTAGTGCTGAGATTACAGGCATGTGCCACCACTGAATTTTCTCATTGATAATTGGTATTTGTTAACACCTGGTGCTATGTGGGTGTTTCTGTCTTTCAGGACCTTGCGCTTTCGAGGCAGGCACAGTGCCACTGACCTAAATCCCTGGCCCATGGAGCTGTTTGTTTCCTGACTTTGCTTTATGGTGCCCTGATGGTCCAGTGTGCATGAAACTGCCGCTATTCTCTGTCTACTGTTAAAGATGGACTGGCTTGGCCTTTTTTTTTTTTTT